GTGTGAGAGTGTGTGTGTGTGTGTGTGGGAGAGTGTGTGTGTGTGTATGGGAGAGTGTGTGTGTGTGTGTATGGGAGAGTGTGTGTGTGTGTGTGTGTGTCTGTCTGTCTGTCTGTCTGTGTGGGGGTGGGGTTGGCGATTTGGTCGGGGGTGGAGTGGGAGTGGAAGGGGCTGAGGAGCCAGTTCCGCGGGTCCTATTGTGAAGGCTCTGTCTGGATTGTCTCTGTGTCACTCTTAACGGCCTCTCACTGTGATCTCTCACACAGATATCGATGAATGCAGTTACTCCAATTACTTGTGTCACTATCAGTGTGTGAATGAACCAGGCAGCTTCTCCTGCGTTTGCCCTGATGGGTACCAACTGCTGGGCACCAGAATCTGCCAAGGTACGGTCAATGCCACCCCTCACTCTCCACTCTCGCCAGGAGGTGTACCCTCTACAAAATAACCCCAATCCGTATCACAACAGGATATCCAACACTCAGGACAGGGACAGCACGGGGTTAGATACAGAGTAAAGCTCCCTCTACACTATCCCCCATCAAACACTCCCCAGGGACAGGGACAGCACGGGGTTAGATACAGAGTAAAGCTCCTCTACACTGTCCCCCCATCAAACACTCCCAGGACAGGGACAGCACGGGGTTAGATACAGAGTAAAGCTCCCTCCTGTTTGCTGCTCTGATGCGATACTGTGTGTGTGTATGTTTTGGATGTTACAGATGTGAACGAGTGTGAGACAGGTCAGCACCAATGTACCGAGGAGCAGATGTGCACCAATGTGTATGGCGGTTTCCGGTGTGTGCCGAAGAACCAGTGCCAGGAGCCCTATGTGCAGGTGTCGGACAAGTGAGTAACAACATGCATTGATGTAGCCCCTGGCGCTGTCCCTACCGGAGTTGGGGAGCTCAAGATCTGACCCCCTGGCCCCACCCTCCCTCACGGAGCTGGAAGGGGTGACCATTCCCCTGGTCACCGTCCTGTGGGACCCCCCACTGTCTTCCCCCATGACCCAGGAAGTAACTACAGAGCTTCCGCTGAGAGAGCTTGCAAAACCGACCAGATTCCACCACACCCCCAGCCCCCGCCAACCCTCGTCCCCCGGCCCCCGCCACAACCCTGCCACCCCTCACTATCTCAAGAACAGCCCAG